CTGTGCGCGCGGGTCGCTATAGCCGGAGCGGGGGAAATACGCTGACACAAGTAGTAGTTTGAGTCTCCCCCTCTTCAGAGATACCGTTGCGAGTCTGGATGAAAGTGCTTGGAAACGTTGAATGTGTTTGCTCCATTGTCCGTGGATGATCGAGGCAACTCACTGGCACGGCTGATCGATGCCAGACCCTGCAAAGATGTGTCCTTCTGTGGTTGTCCAGATCTCCTCTGGCGTGGTCCTCCACGTGTCGTTGATCAGTGCGAAATCCCACTGGCCCGAATCGAGCTCAGTGATCAGCTCTTCCACCCTGTCGTCCGCGGTGAGCGACCGGGCGTTTTTATGTATGACTACCATACGAACGTGGTCGGTGAAAGCGGTCGTCGGCGACTCCGTCGTCGGTATCTCTGGAGCTGCCAGCTGTTGCTGGAAGAAGGCAGGAGGATGGGGGGGAGGAGGAGGAGGAGGAGGAGGAGGAGGAGGAGAAGGAGGACGCGGGGAGGAGAAGGAAAATATTGGTCGGCGCTGGTGGGTCTTGGGCACTGGTGGTCGCTAGTGGGCGCTGCTGGTCGGGTAGGGTCGGCGCTGCTTGGGTGAAACAGGTCGGTGGTAGGTGCTGGTGGGCGTTGCTGGTCGGTCTGGGTCGGTGTTGCTTGTGGTGTTGGTCGTCGGTCGGCAATGGTAGCTGGTGGGAATTGTTGGTCGGGTGGGGTCGGCGTTGCTTGCGGTGCTGCTGGTCGGTGGTTGTTGGTGGTGGGTGTTGGTGGGTGCTGCTGGTCGGTCTGGGTCGGTGCTGCTTGTGGTGTTGGTCGGTGGTCGTCGGTGGTCGCTGGTGGGTGTTGCTGGTCGGGTGGTGTCGGCGCTGTTTGTGGTGCTGCTCGTCTGTTGTGGTAGTCAGCGGTAGGTGCTGGTTGGTGCTGCTGGTCGGTCTAGGTCGGCGTTGCTTGTGGTGTTGGTCGTCGGTGGTCGGTGGTCGTTGGTGAGTGCTGCTGGTCGGGTGGGGTCGGCGTTGCTTGTGGTACTGCTTGTCGCTGGTGGTCGGTATGTGGTGCTGGGCGTTGCTGGTCGGTCTGGGTCGGTGCTCCTTGTGGCACTGGTCGGCGGTCGTCGGTGGTCGCCGGTGGGCGCTGCTGGTCGGGTGAGGTCGGCGTTGCTTGTGGTGCTGCTGGTCGGTGTGGGTCGGCGGTGGGTGCTGGTGTGTGCTGCTGGTCGGGTGGGGTCGGCGTTGCTTGTGGTGTTGCTGGTCGGTGGTTGCCCGTGGTGGGTGCTGGTGGATGCTGCTGGTCGGTTTGGGTCGGTGCTACATGTGGTGTTGGTTGGAGGTCGTTGGGCGCTGGTGGGTGCTGCTGGCATGTCGGGATCGTTTTTGCTCCGTGGAAGATGCATGCTGGTACGTCGCTGTCTGTTCGTGCATAAACCTTTCTTCCGCCTCCAATGCTCCGCGCTGACGTCGGTGAAGCGGTTGATCGCGATGTCGGCGTCAAGGCTGCAAGTCCTGAGGGGGGCGGTTCCTGAAGGGGGGTGAAAACATACACTGTCGAGTTGGTCTCGCATCGAATTCTGGAAGACACGGGTATTCCCAGCGGGAGGCGGAGGGAGGGAGGGGAGAGAGAAATTCTAATACCCGATTGTGTTGAAAAATCTACAAAACTTTCGGTGCCAGTCTCGGACCGCGCCGTCGGGACTAGTTTTTTGGGGGGTCTTTGGCGCCCCATGCACGCATTGATTGGGCAACTGGCACCTTCACCTCTTGGCCCCCGCCTGCGAATTCCCCCTCCCTGGACGTGATTTAGCCACCATTCTCCCCAGCACCTGTACCACGAGCTCGCCCCTCAAAATACGAATGTCTTCAGGGGGGAATGCCCAAAAGACGGTTGAGGTGGTATTTGACGAAACCGAGCTGCTTTATGTCCCGCCGCTCTGTCTTCGTGAGGTTTCCTGTGAATCGTACGGTTTGTTCTGGGGTTCCTCCTGGTACTCGGGGTGCTGTCTCGCATCAATTTGTGGGAGCCGTTTTTGTTCGCGAGTGTCTGGAACTCTATGTATCCGATGCTGGCGGGGTCAGCTATGCAGAACACGTTGTGCACCTGGTCCTGGTAGTTGTGGTCCTTGGTTAGTTGCGTCAAATACCCGGCGACGGGAGCTTCGGAGGTGTCTTTTGGAAATCCGTGTGCCACCAGTTGCAAATTCTTGTTGTTTGTGCTGGGACTGCCTTTCATGACTGCTTGTTGTGGGTTGTTGTACTTGCAGAGCTGTGGCGTCAGTCTTGGCGCGAAGCGCTTTGAATTCGGTAACGTTCGAACCCATATTGTCGTCGATCTGGCGCTGCATGCCTTCGAATTTGTCCTCATTGGCCTGCTCGTATTTCGTCATTCGCTCGTCCATGATGCTGCGCATGCGCTTGGACATGGCATCGACGATAGACTGGTCTCTAGGCTCGAGTGCTGGCTCCTGAGCCTTATGCTTTTCTGTCTTTGCGTGTTTGGGTAGCGGGATGGAGCCGGTCGCGGTCATTGCCTTCCAGATGCCATCCGAGGGGCGCTCGGGCGAGAGCGACATGATGTTGGAGAGAAGTAAAGATGGTAGAGGGAAGTGGAAGTGTAGAGTAACATTGTAAGCAGAAAGTGTGCTCTGAGCCCTCTGAGCCCGCTTGTGCCCTCTTGAGCCCTGAGCCAACACTAATTGGCATGTCACGGCAACAGCACTCGAGGAGGGGACGGCATGACTTTATGCCACGCACGAAACACAAATTAGTGTTGAGGGAGATTGTAGTAAAGCAGATTCTGAAGATTTTGCGTGCGATCGCAACCACAAGCATAACTATCGGAGCAGGGGGGCTTTGGCAAGTAACTTATTCGATGCTGAACTTCCGCCGTTCAAAAACACCGAGGAGGATGAGTGGGTTCACACGAACAGGCTAGCGATGGGGATCATTATGGAAGCATGCAGCTCTACGATGAAGCACGAATTGGTCCCCACGACGTTCCTTCGAGAAATGTGTGCGGCAGACAGAGCCGAGGAGGGAATAGACCGCGTGTTGAAAGATATGGTTCAGAATGGAGTCGCACAGCATCACGAAGGATGGTTGGTGGACCAAATACATTTTGGTGAGGATATTATTGTTGCGCATGTTGCAACAACAAGACATCGCAAGGTCAACCGCTTTACGGGCGAGCATTAGTTGGCAGCGCGAATTGCGTCGAATGGTTATGAGGGCTTTCGCGAAACATGGAGAACGATGCAACATAGGCCGCAGCAAACAGAAGAAGAACCTGATGCGCTTTGCGATCAGGATGTTCGAGGCTCTCATCAAACATACGCAGTACAGGCAAGAATGCACACTGGGCGAGCTCATGGATACAATGCATATTCACTGCGTTAGGCTTGGAACCACATTGTCTTCACGCAACTACCGAATAACCACGTTCGCATTCTCGATGACATGTCTACGTGTCAGTGGCGGTAGTTGGTTTGCCAAACCTTGCAACGAACAGTTTGATCAGCATGGCTGCTGCAGAGGAGGAAATGAGGGCCCAGCACATGTAGCATCACGAAATCGCAAGACAGCGGCACACATTTTGCGCGTCGTATCTGGAAGGGGTGGTGGAGGTGGCGGAGTGGTGGGGGCGGAGGAGGAGCTCTCTCGTCGATCTGGCGTTCGGCCAACGGCTGCCTGGCCCTCCTGTGCGAGGCGTGCGCGGCAGGCGGCATAGCCGCAGCGCCGACCTCCCTGCTTCGTATCCTTGCAAACGTTTCTGAGCAGGGCCTCCCTGATAGCGGGGCACTCCTTCGCCTGGAGCACCATCCAGGTAACGGGACACCCCAGGCAAGTCCCCAGGATCGGCAACGGTCCAAGGGGCCTGCTTCCGTATAAACGCCAAGGGATCAACGAAGGATTTGAGCCGCTGGACGCAGAGACGCCCAATGGCCTTGACCTTGAGCTTGACCTTCTCTTCCTCTTCCCTCCTCCCTCCTCCCTCCTCCCTCCTTGCTTATCCCACTCCTCCTCCTCCTCCTCCTCCTCCTTCTCCTCCTCCTCCTCCTCCTACTCCTCCCTCCCTCCTCACTTATCCTCCTCCTCCTCCTCCTCCTCTTCCTCCTTCCTCCTCCCCCTCCTCCTCCTCCTCCTCCTCCTCCTCCTCCTCCGCCTCCTCCTCGGGCTTCGGGAATTGTTCGGTCCCACACAAGCAAGACGGCCTCAAGAAGGGCACTGGACGGCACAGGAATCGTCCCAGACGGCCCTGGACGGCCGCAGAGGAGCTCCAAGATGGCTCCGAGGCCCAACCAGACAACCCCGCCACTGTTCTACCGAGCCTCTCTGGAAGAGCTCGGGAGCGCCGTCGCGCCCGAGACGGCCCGAAGACTTCCAGCAGGCCCGCGAGAGGCCCCCCCAAGGAGCATCCCGAGAGGCCGCAGAGAAACTCCGCAGAAACCGCCGAGAGCCCTCCGCTGAGAGGCTCCCGGAGAGCAACCACAACGATCGTGCACCTTGGCGGCCGCGCCGCGCTGGCGCGTCGCATTCGCAGCGACGCTTCCCACGCGGCCCCGGCCGCGGCTCTGCGGAGCCTGAAATCGAGAGAGCTCGGTGGCTGCCCAGACGTCCGAGGACGTGACGGCTGCTCCGTGCGCAGCCCCGGGGGCCTCGGCCCCTCCCCCGCGGTCAGTTGTTCGTCCCGCATCCGTTCCTGTTGGCCCTGGGGCCCGGTCGTGGCCCCCGAGGGCCGAACTCGAGGAGGAACGCCCAGACCACAGCAGGGGCCCTCCCACACGAAACCTTCCACAAGAAGCCCAACCCTGAGACCCCAAGACGCCCATCGATTTTTGGTGTGGGAACGTTACGCTTTCCATGGCAAAGCCATCGAAACCCAAGAAATCCAGGGCACCCTGGAGGCAAGCAGGGTGTTTCTTGACATGGGCCCCCGCTGCAAAAAAAAATGCCCTGGGAGATCCAGGTCCATCCCGCATGCGCTCCGACGCGCTTGCGCGGCGGCAGGGTTTGCCACAGGCAGCTGGGTGCCCTCGTGTTCCATCGACGTGCGCATGTGCGTGAGAACCCTCTGCGCCTCCAGCGGCAGCGACCCGAACTCCTGCCGCGACTCCGCCCGCCGCATGCCCTCGTACATGGTGGAGTCGAGGTTGACCTCGCCCATGTACAGAAGACGAAAAACCAGCACTAAGCATACACTTTCGGAGGGCTTGCGCGGATTCCTTTAGACAAGCACGTTCCACTACTCGCAAGGTGATTACTCGCAGACGGCCTGGGTCCGCCGCGGGGAAGTTACGATACATTGCATCGAAGTACACATGAGTTCTTCAGACGTTTGCGAGTGGGCACAGTGTGAGTAGTGGAACGCGCTCGGTGATTCTTGGATCGGCGATGGACGCCGCTCTTTGGCGCGGGGAGAGCCACAAGGGGGCGGCGCTGGAGGCGCCACCCGGGGGGCGCCCAGCGCCGTTCCAGGAGCCGCGCGGACCCGCGGACCTCCGAGAGTGTATGCCTGCGCCGGCGTTTGCTCTTCCGCATGTACCCGGCGATCTCCTGCACCGCCTCGTGAGACGAAGCCAGGACGAGGGTAACATCGGGTGAGGATAAATCGAGAATCTCTGAGATCCCGCGGCTCTGGAGGATGTCTCGGGCGCCGCGGCCTCCTCTAGACAAGCGCGTTCCACTACTCGCAAAGTAACTACTCGCAAATGGCCTGGATCCGCCGCGGGGGATCTGCGATATTTTACATAGAGGAAACACATGTTTGCTTCGGACGTTTTCAAGTAGGCACTTTGTGAATAGTGGAATGCGCTCGGTGATTCTCAGAGCGTTCTGGAACGTGTTCCGGAAGGCTCTGGAACGGATTTATCCTCGTCCTAGCCCCGTCCGACCTCGTTCGCGCTCGCCACGAACTTCTCGTCTGGGTGCACATTCCTGGTGGAACCAAAGACTGACCTGGCGAGAGACCCAACAATGTGCAGTTTTGTGGGTGCCGCAGTCGCGAGTATCGTCTTCGGTGGAGCTCCGCATGGTGCGGTGAAACGTGTGAGAGGTTGCGCAGAAATGAGCGAGGGGGATAGTATGCGAACTGTGCCACTGGAGCCTTCGATGGAGCCCCTTTATGGGGTCACGAAACGTGAGGGGTGTAGCAAAATGGGCGGGGGAGACGCATTGCCACTGGGGTTCTGGGCGGAGTTCCTTACGGCCACGAAACGTGGAAGGGGTGTGCCGTTGTGGGCGGAGGGGACGCATGCGAACCCTGCCACTGGAGCCCTGGGTGGAGCCCCCTGTGGTGCCACGAAGCGTGTGAGGGGCGTGCCGTGATGGGCGGCGGGGACGCGTGGAGCCCCCCTATGGGGCCACGAGACGTGGGAAGGGCGTGCCGTAATGGGCGGGGGAGACGCCTGCGAACCCTCCCACTGGGGCCCTGGGTGGAGTTCCGTGTGGGGCCACGAGACGTGCGAGGGGCGTGCCGTAATCGGCGGGGAAACATATGCGGACCTTGCCATTGGGGCCCTGCGTAGTGCCCGTTATGCGGGGGAGACGCATGTGAACCCCGCCACTCAGGTCCTGGGTGGAGCCCCACTATGGGGCCACGGGGCGTGTGAGGGGCGTGCGGTAGTGGATGGCGGGGACGCGTGCGAGCCTTGTCATCGGGGCCCTGGCGTGCCCGTGGGCGGGGGAGACGCATGCGAACCCTGTCACTGGGGCTATGAGTGGAGCTCCCTGTGGGTCCACCAAACGCACGAGGGGCGTGTCCACATGGTCGTGCGGAGGGCAGAGACAGCATGGGAGGAGGGAGGAGGGAGGAGGGGGAGGAGGAAGAAGTGAGTAAACGCGGGACGCTGCGGATTCAAAACGAGGACCCAACACCACAGGATAGTTGGGACATGCCGACACCACTGCTCCCCAACCCGCGTTCCGACCAGGACCTCGAGGCGAATCCAGCCGTGGCAACGAGGGCCTGCAGGGAGGCCCAGAAAAGCGAAAACGAAGCAACGGTAGCGGCATCGGCAAATTGTCTTCGGGTCACAGCTCGGATCTCGGGCAGCCGTTCGGGACGATCCGGGCACCCCCAGAACGCTCTCGGTGAGGAGTACGCTGGAAGACACCCCGAGAGGCTGGAAAGCCGACAAGAACCCACGAAAACGTCCGAACACCTTGGAAACCTGGGCACCTCACCTTGTTTTGGCGGCGCGCTAAGCGGGATGGGGGGGAGGGGGGAAGGCCTCTAAGAAGGAGGCTACTTCTTAGAAGGCGCCTGCCCTACATCCACAGACAAGGCACGCGCCTTCTAAGAAGCAGGGTGTTTCTGAGGAGCCGTCCCCCCTCCCCCTAACCCCCCTCTGCGCGTGGCTGACTCCTGTCGGGGCCAACTCCAGACGGAGTAGACTCAGACGGAGACCGAGCACTCCGTATGGGCCCATTCCGTATGGGCTCAACCTCCTAACAAAAGAGGTTCAATCCAAACGGAATAATCCCAGCCGGAGACCGAGCACTCCGTATGGGCATACTCCGAACACCTCGGAAACCTCGGCACCTTTTTTGGGGGCGGCGCGCCAAGCGGGATAGGGGGGGGGGGAAGACTTCTTTCAAAAGGAGGCTGCTTCCTACAAGGCACCTGCCCTACATCTATAGACAAGGCACGCGCCTTCAAAGAAGCAGGGTGCTTCTCAGAAAACTTCCCCCTCCCCCTAACCCCCTCCGCGCGTGGCTGACTCTTATCGGGGCCAATTCCAGACGGAGTAGGCTCAGACGGAGACCGAGCACTCCGTATGGGCCTACTCCATATGGGCTTGGCCTCCCAACAACAGAGGCCAAGTCCAAACGGAGCAAGCCGAGACGGAAGCCGAGCACTCCTTATGGGCATACTCCGAACACCTTGGGAACCTCGGCACCTCACATTTTTGGGCGGCGCGCTAAGCGGGATGGGGGAGGGGGAAGGCTTCTGAGAAGGCGCCTGCCCTACATCTACAGACAAGGCACGTGCCTTCAAAGAAGCAGGGTGTTTCTGAGCCGTCCCCCCTCCCCCTACCCCCCTCTGCGCGTGGCTGGCTCCTATCGACGCTGAATCCTGACGGAGGAGTCCAGACGGAGACCGAGCACTCCGTATGGGCATACTCCGAACTCCTTGGAAACCTCAGTGCCTCACCTTTTGTGGCGGCGCGCTAAGCGGGATAGGGGACAGGGGGGAAGGCCTCTTAGAAGGAGGCTGCTTCTGAGAAGGCGCCTGCCATACATCTGTATACAAGGCACGCGCCTTCTAAGAAGCAGGGTGCCTCTAAGAAACCTTCCCCCCTCCCCCTACCCCCTGTCGAGGCTAACTCCTGTCGAGGCTAACTCCAGACGGAGTAGGCTCAGACGGAGACAAAGCCTTTCCTCATCGGAATTCCTGCACAGCTCCGCCGCGTCGGCTATGCGGCATAGCCGATTCGAGGCCGAGTCCACCGCGCTCACCAGCGCCAGCGGCTCCAGCTGTGCTGCGCCCGCCAGCTCCCGCCGCGCTTCGCCGACGGCGGTGCTGGCCAGGCGCGGGAAGTCCCGAGGCGCCTCGACGACGACGACGACGACGACGACGACGACGGACGACGGACGACGGACGACGGACGACGGACGACGGACGACGGACGACGGACGACGACGACGACGACGCCGACGCCGGACGACGACGACGACGACGACGACGATGAAAAACGACGACGGCGACGGCGACGGCGACGGCGACGACGACGACGACGACGACGACGGACGACGACGGACGACGACGACGACCATGACGGCGACGACGACGACGACCATGACGACGACCTCGAGGACCTCGACCACGACAACGACGACGACGACGCCGACGCCGACGCCGACGGCGACGGCGACGGCGACGACGACGACGACGGACGACAATGTCGATATGACGATATGATGACGGCGGGAAGTCCAGCAGCGCCTCAAGGCCTTCGATGCCGAGCAAGCACGGCCTCTCCCGCTGGAAGAAGAACACCGGGTCTTGCTAGAACCCAGACCTCCAACGTCTCGAGAAACCCGGCGGCGAGCCCAATGGGGAATGCAGGGGCAGCGGGGCTTCTCAGAAGGATCGGGAAGCCTCGGGCCTTCAGATCAGTTTTCTAAGCCGTCTCCGAAGACAGAGGCGGTTTCTCAAAAGGCCCGAAGGCGTCCGAGAAGCCCCGCCGCCGTCTGAGAAGGCCTGCCCCTCCTCACATCCCCCGCAGGCGCGCCGACGAGAGAACCTCAAGGCGGAAGCGTTTCCCAGCGCTCGGCCTCTGGGGTGGCCTCGCCGGGCCCCTTGACTGTCAGAGAACAGCCCAGGATGAAGAGCTGGCCGTGGGGAAAATGTCCAGACCCAGAGGCCTCCCAGTTGGGGTCCGACTAGATGAGGTCGAAGGATCGCGCCGCATCGGCGACGTCGGCCACGCATCGGCGCCATCGGCGTGGGGAGAGTCGGGCTCCACATTGAGCCGCATCGTCGATGCATCGTCGATGCGGAGCGATCCTTCGGCCCCATCTGCCTCTCGACACCCTCTGGGAGGCCTCGAAGTGCTCGGGGGGCCCCCGCAATGAGAAGCGCCAGACGTCGGACGTCTGGGAAACGGCCCTGGCCCAAAATGCTGCATGCCCCCCGCCTCTCGCGCCACCCTGGGGCCTCGCGGTGTGCCCTCTGGGCCTCGCGGGGGGTGCTCTGGGGCAACCTGCGCGCCCCTGTGAAAGCTGGGGCCAACGTGGTAGGATGGGCCCATGGGGGACGCAAGTGAATCGACGCAAGTTCTGGGATTTCTCGCATGTGTCCATATATCCCTGGATATTCCTCGCCCCCTCCATTTCCCATATATGTATATATACATATATCTATATATATATATATATAGAGAGAGAGAGGGGGGGGAACGCTGCGCGGGCTGGTTTTCGCAGCCCGCGCATTATCAAAACTGAACGTTTCACCGAGGCGAAACTATCACTTTGTATAGAAACCTATCGAACACACTGTGTTTTGCTATTTTTTTGCAAAGCGCACGGCCGAAAAAAAAAAAAACAACAACGTAAAACAACCACACCCAAGCAAGCATTTTAAAGAAAATCGCAGAACGCATTAAACAACAATTGATAAGCACTGCGTTTCTACCACTATTATGCGGCTCCAAACAGAAAACCAAATATTTTCATTAAAAACAGAAGAACAACACGCAAGAAGTATTGTTTCACAAATTTCCTGGCTTATCATTTCCATTAGGAAATACTATATAATTCACATTTAGAGAAACGATAGGGACACGCATCCTCTTCAGGCTTTTAACGTTTGAAACAGAAAAAAAAAAACACAGATTCCCATTTTTTTATTAAAAAAAGGAATAGCAAGATAAACATAAAAGTGTTTAACGATCTTCTTGTTTGCCATTGTCATTAGGAAGTGCTACATAATTCGCACTTAGGGAACCGATAGCGAAACGCGTTTTTACCATAATTCTAACGTTTGGAACAGAAAAACATATAATTTCATTAAAAACAGAAGGCCGACTAAAAAAAAATATGTGTTTGGCAGTTTTTTTCTTGTTTGCCATTTCCATTAGGAAATGCGATGCATCGCAAATTCTAAGAATCTGAGGGCTGGCGGAATAGCATCAGCTGTCTGCATATAAGATCCGTCACATAAGTGCAATCTCTTTTCTACACGGCGCTTTATCAATGCATCAGCGAAGTCTCAAGTGCACAAGTCAAATTGCGTGACAGCAACATCATATATGATGCAATCGTAATCTACTCAATCCTCTGCTTTTTGGTTAGCCGCCTTTCTGGCTTAACCACTTCTTCCTTTTTCAATAAACGATAACACAAGCTTGGCTGTTTCATCATATTCAAGAGAAAAATAACATTAACGACTTTGCACGTCCAGACTTCATATTCGATTGGTTCCATATGCAGCAGCTCTTCCTTTACCTTTTTTATATAGCTGTTTAAAAGTGAACCCAGCATACTGACACATCTTTTCCATCAGTCTGACATTTGGCCCTGCTAAATCGTATAGCATTTCGTCCGGCACGTCAATCTCGGCACCATATGCAATAAATATCAAAAGAAGAATATGTACTGCCCTGAATGCTCCAATGCCTGTCACCTTTGAAAGTTGTCTGACAGATTCTGCAAACGATTCAACTATCTTCTCCGTTGTATCGAATTCCCGCATGAAGTCTCGTACCCAGTCAACGTGGTACCCGTAATTGACATTGCAAAGCAGAGCGCTACGTTTCACTTCAGACGTTGAACCTTCTGCAATTTTCAACCCTTTGCTTTCATTCTCTGCAGTCAAGATGACGCATCGCATTCTGTCGACTGTAAGATTGCTCCAATCATTGCCAAAACATTGTTTGATTGTTGGTTCTTGTAATACTTTTGACAGAGATGAAGAACGTCCGCTGGCTATCGTACAAAGCATAATTGTTAATCCTCCTGGGCATACACCTTTCTCTAAATTGAGTCCTTCTACATATTCGCGCAACGCTTTAGGTACTGGATCCCACTGAACACGAGGATTGCGAATCTGAAACAAATTCATCATTGAAGAGATACACCACGTGCTGTTTTCCATTGCTTTTGTAACTGCACATTTTTGTAACTTGCCTGTTTTGCTATACAACTCAGACAAAACAAATGTGTGATTCCGCACCTTCTCAACAGATCGAGACACGCGAAAATCTGATATATCTTCACGCGTATTTCTTCGAGCTCTTTCTATCCGAAGCGCCACCCAAAAGTTTGCTGCTCGGCGACAAAAGCCCCCATCGTTTGTGGGAGGCAACTGCCTAGCAACATTTTTGAGAAAGGTATCTGGGTTTTCGCTCATTAGATCGTCGAGATATGTTCGCCCAGTTCTCGCTGCATCCATTTGGCTTCCTCTGTAACGCTTGTATAACTCAGCACGTGCGAAACATATGCACTGTAGCAAAGAAGGATGATCATATGAGAACAAATGATGAATCGAATAATATAACACTGGTGATTATGATACGCACGGAACCAAAATTAATGATTCCGCAGAAGTCCTGGTGGTGACCCGGGAGACCCACCCGAGGGACTCTTATGGCCTCAAAGGCTATAGTATGAAATGTTATTTCAAGTCTCGCCTTGCAAGGCGGCCTCAAGAGCTCTCCAAAGCTTCGTCTGTTGCCTTTTTGCAATCATCAAATAAGCTCCTGGTCGATACTATAACTTCCACGATCGTCGCAAGCACGCCCTCCTTCAAGGCGGTCTCAGAGCTCCCCAGAGTTTTTTTGTTGCCTTTTTGCAAGCATCAAAAAAGCTCCTGGTCGATAATATAACTTCCACGATCGTCGCAAGCACGCGCCCCTTCTGAGGGGCGGCGGAATGGCGCTGGCCTCTTCTTCTTTGTTTTTTTTTCGCCCTTCGAGCCAGAGCCAGAGCGGGTCGTGTGCGAGCCAGAGCCCTTTTGCTCCTCCTGCTGCCCCTGCTGCTGCTCCTCCTCCTGCTGCTCCTCCTGCTCCTGCTGCTGCTCCTCCTGCTGCTGCCGTCGCTGCTGCTCTCTTCGTTCGCTTGTTTCTGTCTGTTTGTTTTTCTCCTCGTCTGTCGTCCTCTCTCCTTCCCTTGCTCCTCCTCCTTCTCTCTGTCCCTCCCCCTCCTTCCTTTCTCTCCCCCCTCCCTCCTCTCCTTGGCGCCCCCCCTCCTCTTCCTCCCCCCTCTCTCTGCGGCTTGCCCTACTGCCTACTGCTCGAGGAGGTGCGCGGGCGGCCCCCCCTTCTCTAGCACCAGGAGAGCCACCTGGTTCTTCTGCATCAACTTATCTAGCTTTTCCGCGTCGTCCTGCTGCTCCTGCTGCTCCTGCTGCTCCTGCTGCTGGTTCGGCTTCGGGCGCTTTTTCGGCAGGGGCTGCGGCTGCTCCTGCTCCTCCTGCTGCTGGTTCGGCTTCGGGCGCTTCTTTGGCAGGGGCTGCCGCTGCTCCTGCTGGTCCGCTGCTGCTGCGCTGGGCCGCGGCTGCTGCTCCAGCGCCGCGCGCAGCGCGTCCGTCGCGCTGCGCGCTAGCGGCTGAGGCGGGCCGGTACGTGGTGATGTCGAACACCATGCCAGCCCCCGAGAAGAGCTGACAAAACTCAACCATGAAATGACACACCATTTTTAGAAACCGAAAAGGGGAAACCATTTATCAAATCTCGGCAAGGATGCAATACCTTCGGAAATCGCAAGGATGCTATCTCACATGTTCTCAATGAGTTGTGATAGAGCTGTTACTCAAGATGTGCCAATGGTTGAGTTTTGCCAGCTCTTCTGTGTGGTCTGCCGAGGGTCGTGGAGGCTCTGCCGAGGCTATGCGAGGCTTGAGTCAAACCGGCTATCAACGGACACATTGAAACCGAAACGCTCGCAACACACCTGACAATCAACATTAGTTTATAGTTTCGCCCCCCCAAGAGCTAGAGAACTCGCATCATATCTGAAATCCTATTTCTTTTCTATGCATAATCTGAACCAACTGTGAATATCCGACAGAATAACAGAACATATGTAAAAATAATATAAAATCTGAACACCCCCCCCCCCCCCAAAAAAAAAATACAAATGTCATTATCGCGTGACGTGAGTTCGAGACCCCCCAAAAATCCTAAAAAGGGAAGGGTCTCGAATTCGAGGAATTCCTATGGCTTTGGCACCAAAACGGCCTCAAAAAGGCCTCCCCGAGGACCCTCGGAAGTGACTCTTCAGAAGAGCGATTTTCCTATTAACTGACTAAAGCTAAACGGCTTTCATAAAGGTAAGAAGTCTGCTGAAACATACGTTCATAAGAACAGTTTAACTTTTAATTTCAATCAAACTAAAGCGATCAAGTAATGCATAATTATAGTGAGTAGTGTTGCGTATAATTATATGCCGCTTGAACGATTTCAGCATCATATTATCTGGCACCGAGAAGAACCGCGCGAAGCTGTCGGCTCTGGAGTTGTGAGCACTGGCCATGATCGGGAGTTGTGATCACTGGCCGCGTAAAGCTTTCAGCTTGAGGAAAAAAAAAAACTTACGGAAAAGGCGTAGGTCGTGATCACTCGAAATGCTTGTGCGGGGGGAGGGGAGGGGGAGGGGATAGTAAATGCTCTCTGGGACCTGACGCCATGGGCCAACTGAAATAAATAACCTCAGCTCTGCATCAATATGATTTCTTTTGGGAACTTAAATAACAAAAAACCTAAGGAAAACCAGAAAAAAAAACAAAAAAACAATCCCTGGGGAGGTCCTGGAAATATTTCGCAATTGTTTTTTTTTTTTTGTTGTTTTTCTTGTTTTCCTTAGGTTTTTTGGGGTTTTCATTTCAAAAAAACAAAAAAAAAACAATGTTGTTTGGTTTCCCATTTCAAAAACAAAAAAAAACATTGTTTTTTTTTTGTTTTTTCCATCCAGAAACCAAACAAAAACAACATTGTGTTTTTTGGTGTTTCATATCAGAACCAAAAAACAAAGGAAAACCAAACAAACAAAAAAACAATTTTCCCCCAAAGACTTCTGCAGGAATTGTTTTGTTGATGTCTTGGTTTTCCTCTTTTTGGGTTCTTCATTTCAAAAACAAAAAACACTGTTTTTTTCCCGGAAAGGGCACGGGCCCAGGGTTCTCTTTTAGTAGGTAAACCTGTCCCCCGGTGCCAACTTGAAGGAGGCCGGCGAATTTTTTCCCTGATAAATAACGAGGTCGAAGGAGGCCGGCGAATTAAAATTTGAGGATGTCTCGAGCGAAACGCTTGTTTTTGAAATCCCGATCGATAAATCACAGGGTGCGGGACACTTTTTCGTGTGTTGAGGATGTCTCGAGCGAAACGCTTGCTCCGCAGAGTTTGCCGAGGATGTCTCGAGCGAAACGCTTGTTTTGCAGAGCCGACCGCGACGCGGAAAAGCGCCCCGCGCGAAGGAATTTCGATGATGTCTCGACTAATTCCTTTGTTTTTGTACGATTTCCTGGAATTTTGGCAGGATGTCTCGAGCGAAATGCACGACCCCACCCTAGCACGACCATACCCCAGCACGACCACACCCCAGCACGACCAGACCCCAGCACGACCCCACCCCAGCACGACCCCACCCCAGCACGACCATACCCCAGCACGACCACACCCCAGCACGACCCGACCCCAGCACGACCCTACCCCAGCACGACCACACCCCAGCACGACCACACCCCAGCACGACCTCACCACAGCACGACCACACCCCAGCACGACCACGCCCCAGCACGACCACGCCCCAGCACGACCACGCCCCAGCACGACCACCCCCAGCACGACCACCCCCCAGCACGACCACCCCCCCAGCACGACCACCCCAGCACGACCACACCCCAGCACGACCACACCCCAGCACGACCACACCCCAGCACGACCAACCCCAGCACGACCACACCCCAGCACGACCACACCCCAGCACGACCCGATCGATAAATCACAGGGTGCGGAGCACCCCAGCACGAACCCACCCCAGCACGACCCCACCCCAGCACGACCCCACCCCAGCACGACCACGCCCCAGCACGACCACACCCCAGCACGACCACACCCCAGCACGACCACACCCCAGCACGACCCCACCCCAGCACGACCCCACCCTAGCACGACCACACCCCAGCACGACCACACCCCAGCACGACCCCACCCCAGCACGATCACACCCCAGCACGACCCCACCCCAGCAAGACCACACCCCAGCACGACCGCACCCCAGCACGACCTTACCACAGCACGACCACACCCCAGCACGACCACGCCCCAGCACGACCACGCCCCAGCACGACCACGCCCCAGCACGACCACGCCCCAGCACGACCACGCCCCAGCACGACCCCCCAGCACGACCACCCCCCCAGCACGACCACCCCCCAGCACGACCACCCCCCAGCACGACCACACCCCAGCACGACCACTCCCCAGCACGACCACACCGCCTTGGTTGAGTGGTTGCCTGTCGTCGTGGAATGTTTCGTGGGGTGTCTCGTGGAATGTTTCGCGGGGTGTCTCGTGAAATGTTTCGTGAGGTGTCTCGTGGAATGTTTCGTGAGGTGTCTCGTGGGCTGTTTCGTGAGGTGTCTCGTGGGATGTTTCGTGAGGTGTTGCCCAGTTGGGTATCATGAAAACGTGTCCATGCTCCACATGTCTATATCCCTTTCCGGGTTCGTGGGTCCATCATGTTTGTTTTTCATTTCAGAAACCAAAAACACACAATGCTTGTTTTCCTTCCGACAACCAAAAAAAACATTGTGTTTTTTTGGTTCTTCCTTCCGAAAACCAAAAAAAACCTTGTGTGTTTTTTCCCGGAAAGGGCAAAGGCCCAGGGTTCTCTTTTAGTATGTAAACAATGTCCCCCCGTGCCCAACTTGAAGGAGGCCGGCGGATTCTTTCCCTGATAAATATCGAGGTCGAAGGAGGCCGGCGGATTAAAATTTGAGGATGTCTCAGGCGAAACGCTTGTTTTTGAAATCCCGATCGATAAATCACAGGGTGCGGGCCACTTTTTCGTGCGTTGAGGATGTCTCGAGCGAAACGCTTGCTCCGCAGAGTTTGCCGAGGATGTCTCGAGCGAAACGCTTGTTTTCTTACGTATGTGCCTATAGACTCGCCCTCTCCAGGGGGACGAATCCGTGTGTTTTTACGTAATGAAAACACGTGGGCCCATTTCGCCCCAGGGTGGAACAAGCGTGAAAACACGTGGGTCCCTTTCGCCCCTGAGCGGAACAAGCGTGAAAATACGTGGGTCCCTTTCGCCTCAGAGCGGAACAAGCGTGAAAACACGTGGGTCCCTTTCGCGCCTGAGCGGAACAAGCGTGAAAACACGTGGGTCCCTTTCGCGCCAGAGCAAGCGTGAAAACACGTGGGCCCCTTATGCCCCTGAGCGGAACAAGCGTGAAAACACGTGGGTCCCTTTCGCGCCAGAGCGGAACAAGCGTGAAAACACGTGGGTCCCGTTCGCCCCAGAGCGGAACAGTCATCGTCGTCGTCACCTGGCACATTCCGTGGCACATCCATTGGCACGTTCCGTAGCGCGTCCCCTTGGCACGTCCTACGGTGCGACCCCATGGCACGTCCCCTGGCACGTCGCCTGGCGCGTCCCTTGGGACGTTTCGCGGCGCGTCCTCCTGACATGTCCCCCTGTCGATTGGCTCTGGGGCAGCTACTATGTGTTCAGACAGCTCGAGCTTAAGATCCAGATCAGTTCGGTCAGGACTCGGATGCAAAGGAAGACTCGATCCACGACGCTATAGAGCACAACCGCGGCATGGCATATCGCAATTCAGCACGGCGCAGCACAGCACAGCCCTCGGCACGGTACATCAAGATCGATACCTTCAGCATTGCATTTGCCCATCACCCAATCAGGTGTCTTTGAAAACGTTGCCATGCGTTACATTTCTAAATTCCTTTCCGGGTTCGTGGGTCGATCATGTTTTTTTTGATCTCAGAACCAAAAAAAACCTAAGGAAAACCAAAAACAACTCAAGAGATTTCCCCAGGACCTCCCCAGGGATTGATTTTTTGTTTGTTTGGTTTTCCTTGTTTTCCGTTTTTTTTTGATTTTGTTTTTTGATTTTCCAGCTCAGAACCAAAAAAACCTAAGGATAACAAACAAAAAAACAAATCTGTGGAGATTTCCCCCAGGATCTCCCCAGGGATTGGTTTTTTGTTTTTTTGGTTTTCCTTGTGTTGTTTTAGTTTTCGTATTCAGGCTTACAGAATTCTATGCACGAGCTCTGGGGATCTGTTTGCGTGCTATGAGTTTCTAATTGTTTCCCGCGCGCTTTACAGAAGACCTCTCCCGCCTCATCCCACCGAGGGTTCTCTGAGAACGTCTTGCTGGATTCAAGTCCAAAGGCATCGCGGACGGCCCCACGGATCTCCGAAAACCAGCCCGCACAGGGTTCCTTTCTGTATATATATATATATATATATATATATATATACAGATGTGTATGTATTCACCTGCTTCCATGAAAATCAGCGTTGACTTGTTTTTGTGCCGAGTTTTCTTTCCTGACCCTGCGAAAGCTGGGGCCACCATTCAGGAAAGACAAGAGTACCACTACCACCAGCTAGGGGGTGGGCCGCTCCCTCCCCTCGAGCTGGTGGCACCTTCTTCCGGGAACTCTCTGGAGGCATGCCCCGAACGAGGTGCCACCAGCTCGGGAGGGTGGGACAGCCACCCCCCTAGCTGGCGGTATAGTGGTACTCTCTGCCCCTGGTGCACCTTGGGCCAGGGCCACTCCTGGCACCACCCGAGAAGAATCGGCGCCCGACGCCGTCACACGCCCGCGCCCTGCCAAGTCCGGCGCCCAGCCGGCGCGGCCGGGCCGCCACCGAGCCCCTCGCTGCCGGCCGCATCGCGCCGCCCAGTGAGGCCAGAGGCCTCCCAACAGTCGGGGGCGCGCAAACGTGGATTGGCGGTCCATGGACTTGGCGCGCGGTCGCCAACTCCATGGATCGGGCGAGGTGCCCTCCCAAAAATGCGACCGGCGCCGCCTCGTTCGGCGGCGGAAATCCGCGATTCCCAATGGAAACGGGACCCGTCGCTTATCCACGCCCCTTTGATCCATGTTTGCTTTCGCCTGAAACAGGGATCCCAACAGATGGGGTCGGAGCATTGCGCCGCGTCGCAGCTACATCGCTGACGCACCAGCGATGCACCGGCAACGCAACGCTGCACCGGTACATCGCTGACGCACCGGCGATGCACCGGCGATGCACGGGGTTCCACATCGAGGCGCGATCCTCGCACCCCATCTGGGACACCTATTGATGGGCCTGTTTTCCACCACCACCATCGATAGTTGGAGGGGGAGGAGGAAGAGGAGGACGAAGAGGAGGAAGAGGAGGACGAAGAGGAGGAGGAGGAGGAGGAGGAGGAGGAGGAGGTAGTGGAGGAGGACGAGGACGAGAAGGAGGAGGACACCCTCCAACTTATGGTGGTGGAGGAATGGCCGGGGGGCGCCCCAGCGCCCGCGGGCCTCGGAGCCCTGCCCCGTGCCGAAGCGGCTGCGGAGGCGGCGGGCGAAGGCAGCGGCGCGAGGCGCGGTCTCAACACGGGGCGCCGCCTTCGCGCCCCCAGTGGCGCTCCCCTCCGCGCCCCGTGGTCAGGATGGTGAGGCTGCTCTAGGGCTCCCAACTTCGCGCTTCGCGCTCCGCGAAGCGCGAATAACTTCGCGCTTTCGCGCCGTCCCCACAAAGGGAGAAAAGGAGGACGAGGCGGAGGGGGAGAAGGAACGAGGACCGCGAAGCGCGAATAACTTCGCGCCCTCGTGGGAGCCCTTGCTGCGTCGCCCTCTGCCAGCAGTGATGGCACCAACGAGGACCTCGAGTCCAGATGCCGAGGAGGCTCGGAGGAGGGGACAGGGGGCGGCAGCGGCATCAGGTGACGACGATGCTCGCTTGGCACAGGACGCGCCATACTGCGCGTCCACCTTCCGCCACGCGAGGCGGCGCCCCTTCCTCCTGCCTCCCCCCGTTCATTGTCCCTCGCGGTCCCCTCGAAGCCTCTGCAGTGCCCGTCGTTCGACGTCTGGAGGGATTCCACGACACAAGGGCCGAAGCGGAGCGGGTTTCTTGGCCAGACGAGGGGGAGGGAGCGTGGGTGAGCAGCCGGGGGCTGAGGGCGAGGGCAGGGTTGGCAGCGCGGGCTGGCGCGTGGGCGTCGCGGCGCGCGGCGGGGGAGGGGGGAGCTCTGGCGAGGCGGGTGGAGCAGCAGACCAGCAGACAGGCGGGAGGGAGCAGCCGGCGGAGGAGGAGGAGGAGGAGGAGGAAGAGGACAACGAACAGAACCTCAGCATCAGCCTCATAATCAGAATCAGCATCAGCATCAGCCTCAGCCTCAGCATCAACAGCATCACCATCATCATCATCATCATCATCATCATCATCATCATCATCATCATCACCACCATCATCATCATCACCATCACCATCACCATCACCATCATCATCATCATCAGCATCATCATCAGCATCACCATCATACTACGCATCATCGGCATCATCATCAGCATCATCATCACCAGCATGATCATCATCATCATCATCATCATCATCATCATCATCATCGTCAACATCAATAGCGTCATCATAATCATCATCAAGACCAGATTCATCATCATCAACATCATCATACAAATTATCATCATCAACAGCATCATCAACACCAGCATCATCATCCTCATCATCATCATAATCAGCATCGTCATCATCATCAGCAGCATCAACATCATCATCACCAACATCATCATCATCATCATCATCATCATCATGATCATCGTCAACAGCAGCGCGGTCGTCATCGTCATCATCCTCATCAACAGAAGAAAAGCATCATAAGCATCATCACCATCATCAGCATCACTGTTGTCGTCGTCATCATCAGCATCATCAGCATCATCATCATCATCAACATCTGCCAACAACACCACCACCACCACAATCATCATCATCATCATCATCATCATCATCATAATCAGTATTATCATCATTACCCCTCACCCTTCGCATAAACCGCATCCTGAGCAGCAACAGCTGCATCAGCGCCAGCATCAGCATCACAATCACCATCACAAACGTCACCTGCCATTACAATCACAAACACCATAATCGCCACCACCATCACCATTACCATCACCATTACCATCACCATGACCATCACCATCACCATCACCACCACCAGCATCATCATCATCGTCGTCATCGTCGTCGCAGTCGTCATCATCATCATCAGCAGCATCAGCATCATCGTCTAAATCATCATCATCATCATCATCATCATCATCATCATCATCATCATCATCATCAGCCCCTTCACGTCATACTCATGCTTCCCGTCATCCTCGCGTCCCCCGTGGCCTCCACGCGGACACATATACCCTGAAGGTGCCCAAAGACCTGACGCACCTCCAAAAACCGCCCAGAGAAGGCCTGGACCCAAAAACCGGCCCCGTCCAAACCCTGGCAGGCGCTGCACGACGAACTCAGGAGGAAAAAGCACAGAAAGCATCGGCCTGGAAGAAAAAATAAGGCAGAAAATCGCAACAGGATAACCGAAAGACCCAAGCCCATGGAAGAACATCCGAATCAAAAATCGATCCCTGAACCCGGAGATCAGAAACCAGGACGCAGAGAAACGAACAACAGCACAGCAATCGCAAAGCCGACAACTCCAGTATAGGACCACCCGAAAGGCCCAACCCTCGCAGCAGCACCTACGCAAACAAACCCAGCACCAAAAATAGATGCCAGAAAGGACCAAGCACATACCCAGACTGAATACGAAGGGAAGAAAGAGCGACCCCTCGATTTCCCAAATCTCGGTCCTTTGAAGTGCGCGTATCACCACCGCCACCACCAGTATCGCCATCACCACCGCCACCACCAGTATCACCTTCCCATCATCACCATCGCAACCACCAGTCACCAGTATCATTATCACCACCACTATCACCGTCACCATCACCATCACCATCACCATCACCATCATCATCATCATCATCATCATCATCATCATCATCATCATCTTCATCACCATCACCATCACCATCATGGTCATCGCCATCGGGCATCACCATCACAATCACCATCATCACACTCACCATCATCTTCGTCACCATCACCACCACCATCACGATCGCCAGCATCATCGCCTTCACCATCACCATCACAACCATCACCATCATCATCATCGTCATCATGATCATCAGCATCATCATCATCAGCACCATCACCATCACAATCACCATCCCAACCATCGCCATCATCACATTCATCACCATCCTCATCATCAGCATCCTCATCATCAGCATCATCATGATTATTATTATCATCATGATCACCATCACACTCACCATCAGCACACCATCGCCATCATCAACATCAGCATCACCATTACCATCAGCATCATCATCATCGTCACCATCATCATTATCATCGTCATCATTACCAACATCATCATCATCATCATCATCACAATCACCATCACTATCACCATCATCGTCATCGTCGGCATCATCATCACCATCACCATCACTATCACCATCAGCACCATGAACACCATCACCATCACCATCACCATCACCATCGCCATACCCATCATCACAATGAGCAAAACCATGGCCATCACAGTCATCATCACCATCATCATCATTATCATCATCATGACCATCATCATCACCATCACCACCATTATCATCGTCATGCACCATCACCATCATCATCACCATCATCATCACCACCATCACCATTATCATCGTCATCATCATCAATCCCAGCATCATCAACATCATCAACAGCATCATCATCACCATCATCAGCATCACCATCGCCACCATCATCAACATCATCATCAACATCCTCAACCTTTATCCTCATCCTCATCCTCATCATCATCAGCATCGTCAACCGTTATCTTCATCCTCATCCTCATCCTCCTCATCATCGGCAGCATCAGCATCATCATCATCATCATCAACGTCATCAGCATCATGCGCATCATCACCACCACCACCACCACAACCCACCACCACCACCATCATCATCGTCATCATCATCATCAGCATCATCACCATCACCACCATCACCATCACCATCACCATCATGGTCAACGCCATCGGCCATCACCATCAAAATCACCATCACCAGTGCGCGTATCACCACCGCCACCACCAATATCGCCATCACCACCGCCACCACCAGTATCACCTTCCCATCATCACCATCGCCACCGCCAGTATCATTATCACCACCACCATCCTCATGCTCACCACCACTATCACCGTCACCATCACCATCACCATCACCATCACCATCATCATCATCATCATCATCATCATCATCATCATCATCATCATCATCATCATCTTCATCTTCATCATCATCATCATCATCACCATCACCATCACCATCACCATCACCATCATGGTCATCGCCATCGGCCATCACCATCAAAATCACCATCATCATCACACTCGCCATCATCGTCGTCACCATCACCATCACCATCACCATCGCCATTATCATCGCCTTCACCATCACCATCACAACCATCACAACCATCACCATCAACATCATCATCCTCATCATCATCGGCATCATCAGCATCATCATCATCATCACCATCATCATCACCATCACCATCACAACCATCACCATCATCACAACCATCACCATCCTCATCATCAGTATCCGCATCATCATCATCATCATCATCATCATCATCATCATCATCATTGCTATTATCACCATCATCACCATCACACTCACCATCACCATCACCATCGCCATCATCAATCTCAGCATCACCATTACCATCAGCATCATCATCGTCACCATCATCATCATCACCATCATCA